TTTGAGGCCCAGGAAGGGCAGGTACCTTCCCAAAGTGATATAGAAGAGCTGAAACAAGAACTCAGCACCCTCCTCCCAGCAGAAAGCAGGGTGTTTTCTTGGCCACTAGAGTGACCCCCCAAGTGTGCACACACGTACGTGGGTGTGCCACACTCATGTGAATGCGTGTGCAAGCACAGGTGCAGCAGATGCAGACGGCAGGAGCAGGGCGTAGCTCAACAGCACTCAGATTTACAAAGACTCCTTCGTGAAGGCCCAGCCTCCCAGTGATTCAGAGGGAGTAGGAAAGACAAAGAAGGATGCGGTAGAGACAGAAGGCAAAGCTGGGAGGGGGAGGAGAGGAAAGAAGATGGGGGAGAAGGGCAGGGCAGGAGGAAGTCTCCTCCCTGTTCTTTCTCAGAGGCAAAGAGAGGAGAGGCATGGGGCTGGCCTTGGCCCTCATTCTGTCCCTTCCCAGGTGTCCTTTGGCTGGGGAGAGTCATGTACCATGTACCTGCAGCCTCGCAGCTCCCTCCCCACATCCCAGCTGGAGCAGGCCGGCCTGCCAGTCACCTGCCAGAGCTATTTCTGGAATGTGGAATCTGGGTCAGAGAGGAGGAGGGAGGAGAGCAGCGGCAGCCTTGGAGCTGGGAAGCTGCCCGCTCTGCCTGGTGAGGGGGCTCCACATGCTCCCACAGCCGCCCAAGATCTGGCCAGCCCCTGCCAAGCTCCCAGAGCCTCAGCACCCACCCCTTGGTGGTGGTAGCATCATCTCCCACCTGCCTTATGCATATGTACCCAGGGAGAGGGAGCAACAGCTCCCAAGGGCTTGCCCCTTAGACAGATAGTGAGGTAGGGGTCGTCTGAGCCGGCCCAACTCCCCCAGGGAGACAGTGGCTGAGTGAGGTGCACCTGTGTGTGTGTCTGTGTCCATGTGGGGGGCAGGCAACCATGGCAGGCTTGCCAGGTATGGTTGCACAAGCTTCACACTAAGGATGCCGAATTATCAGGAGGGATGCTGTTCACACTATAGACACAGTTGGATTATGACAAATTTCTGGCAGAAGTAAAGCACCTTGTGGAAAAGGTACTTGCTGACACCTTTACAGAAGATGGCAGTGAAGGCTGATAAAGGAGCTTGTTTGCTTTCTCCTTCCTTCCTCCCTCCCTTCCTTCCTTCTTTCTTTTCTTTTCCTCCCTCCCTTCTTTCTTTTCTGTATTGGAGACTGAATTCAGGGACTTGTGATTGCTAGGCTTTCATTCAAGCTACACATTTAGCCCTTGGGTTTTTTTTGGGGGGGGGGGTCTGGTCGTGGGCCCTGAACTCTGGGCCTGGGCTCTGTCCCTCAGCTCTTCAGCTCAAGGCTAGCGCTCTACCACTTGAGCCACAGTGCCACTTCCGGCTTTTTTCTTTTTGCTTATGTGGTGCTGAGGAATCGAACCCAGGGCCTCAGGTATGCAAGGCAAGCGCTCTACCACTGAGCCACCTTCCCAGCCCCTAGCCCTTGTTTTTTTACTGCAGCTTATTTTTATTTTTTTGTAGGTCATGGGGCTTGAACTCTGGGCCTGGGCACTGTCCCTCAGCTCTTCAGCTCAAGGCGAGCACTCTACCACTTGAGCCACAGCACCACTTCCGTTTTCTGGTGGTTTATTGGAGATAAGAGTTTCATGGACTTTCCTGCCCAGGCTGGCTTTGAACCGTGATCCTCAGATCTCAGCCTCCTGAGCAGCTAGGATTACAGGCATGAGCCACCAGTGCCTGGCATTTGCAGCTTGTTTTCTTTTTCTTTTTTTTGGGGGGGGGGTCCGGTCGTGGGGCCTGAACTCTGGGCCTGGGCGCTGTCCCTCAGCTCTTCAGCTCAAGGCTAGCACTCTACCACTTGAGCCACAGCGCCACTTCCAGCTTTTTTCTTTTTGCTTATGTGGTGCTGAGGAATCGAACCCAGGGCCTCATGCATGCAAGGTAAGAGCTCTACCACTGAGCCACTTTCCCAGCCCCTGCAGCTTGTTTTCAAGATAGGGTCTCTTGAACCTTTCTGCTAGGGCTGGCCTTGAGCTAAGATCCTGCTCTCATCCCGGGGCAAATAAATCCTTTGGTGGCCCCAGTCTACAAGGCACATGTAGAGGGGCCGTGAGAATTGATGGATATATGTGCAGGTGTATGGTAACATTTGGTACATGTGTGAACACATGAGAATATTAGTGTATATGTGTTTCCACATAGATATACACATGCACACATCTGGGTAGGTGATGTGCACACACGCTTTCCTATGTCAGTTTGGGCTAAATCCTCACACGAAGAATAACGAGTCCATATCCCCTACAAAGTTTAATGTCACACTCTGGTTTAACTACATGGGATTATATGTGTTGTATTCATACTCTTTGCTACACGACCAGTTTCTCCCATAAAAGGTGGGATGTGTTTCACCTTGGCTTTGAACCCTTATAACTTGTTTTGACCAACTGGATGTTAGTAGGTATGAAATGAAGAGTGATTTGAAATGTGCTTGTCCAACAAGGCTGCCCTCTCACACGTCTGCCATCACCATGGAAAAAGCATGCCCCAACTAGCTACTGTATCCAGAACACCCTTTGGTGTCAGCTAAGCAGAACTAGCTGACATGCAATCTCATGAGTGAGAACAAAGGCATGTTACTGTGTGCTACTGTGCTTGTTACACAGCATTATTGTAATAACTGCTGCCTGATACATATTGGTAGCAAATGTGGAGTGTGTTAGCAATAAAAACTGAAAATATGTAGCACTAGCTTTTTTTTTTTGGGGTCCGGTCATGGGGCCTGAACTCTGGGCCTGGGCGCAGTCCCTCAGCTCTTCAGCTCAAGGCTAGTGCTCTACCATTTGAGCTACAGTGCCACTTCCGGCTTTTTTCTAATGTGGTGCTGAGGAATCAAACCCAGGGCCTCAGGCATGCAAGGCAGGCGCTCTACCACTGACTCAACTTCCCAGCCCCTGTAGCACTAGCTTTAAGAACCCAGTGGTAACTAGACAGAAGACTGTTACAGAAGGCTTGAGAAAAGAGGTCCTGGATTATGTGTGGGTCAGGACCCTGGGTAGAATTGTCTTCTACAGTAACTTGAGGAGTGTGGATGGGTATAGGCAAGACAGTTTCCAGGAAAAATGTAGAAAGCAAGAGCGGGCTCCTTTGGGCTGTGAGAAAGAGCAGAACTCATAAAAAAGCAATAGCCAATCTGTAGGGAGTATTTAGAGGAAATAGAGAGAGCCCAGAACTTGCTGAATTGGAAAATAAGTCTGTCAACTCCCATTTCACCAGGCAGAAGAGCATTCTTAAGATTCAGCCTGGGAACAGAGATCAAGCCAAGGTCAAAGCTGGTTACGGTACAGCTTGAGGACCAGACCAAAGCCAGGGTGCGGTTGCAACCCCTTTTATTAACACTCTGAAAGTGTGATCTGGTAGATGTGCTCTGCTGGTCAGAAAAGCCGATAGGAAACGTAAGGGCATCATGAAGTCAGGAGAGAGAATGGCCTGACTCAAAAATACTTGTGGGTATGGCTCAGGCCCAAGGTTGTTCCTTGGATTCAAATACATAGAAACCTAGTAAGGGTCTGCAGCAGGTGCAGGGTAACATGACATACCTCAGACGAGAGTGAGATCACCTAGCTCCCAAACTTTCTTCCAGGAGGAAGCTGCCTAAGGAAAGTGGCTGCTGCCTGAAGGCCATATTCTCCAGTGTAGGAGATGCTCCGGGAACATTCCCTGTCTAAGAGCATATGCCCAGAATGACTTCAGAATTCACATAGATCAGTGAGTCCCTGGATCTCTGTTCTCCTGCTCCTCCCGCCCCTTTTTTCCCCTGGTGGTGTTGGGGATTGAACCCAGAACCTTGCCCATGCTAGGTAAGTGCTTTGTGGCTGAGCTATAACCTAGCTCCCATTTTCCCCTTTAGGAGCAGCCATGTGAGTGGCAGTTAGCCTATTCCTATTTTACCAAAGTATGCTGGGGGTGGGGAGGTTAGGAAACAGTACAGGTAACTTGGGTTTTTAGATCATGGGCTGTTATTGATCAAGAGTGGCACATGGTGACACTCAGGACACAGGTCCTGAGTTCTCAATGCCATGATGAGATGAAGCTCTTGGGGTACTGGCAGGGGAGGAGGGGGAGGCGTTGCTACATTGGAGAGCTGTGAACAAATGTGGGATGAGGCAGAAGACCAAAGAAGAGTTGGGAAGGGACGGTACAGAGACCAGCTTAGTTAACCCGTCAGGTGGTCAGTTCCCTGTGTGTGTAGGGATTAGGGGTCAGTTCCTGTGAACACCAGGGCAACACTTGAAGCGGCTGTCTCTTCCTCCAGCCCTCTAACTTAGTCAAGTCTCACAAGCAGTAAGATCCACCACCACCTGAGTTGCTGCCCTGCCTGCCCGTAGTAGGAGGGTAGGCTTCCTGACTTGTCTTTAGCTACCTAAGACCACTCTGGGGTCTGTTTTATAGATGGGGAAAGCAAGGCTCAGAAAAGAGAAAAAGAGGAGCTCAAAGCCCTCTACTCAGCCTCTTTTCCCCTTGGCCTCAGGTCTTTTGTCTTTATCACAGCACTCCTTCCATCTTTCTCTGGTCACACATGAGTTATCGCTAGGGGAGCTGGAAGAACTTTGGGAAGGATGGGCTTCCCCGATTGTGAAAGGGAAAACTTGTCAATGCACTAGGCTGCCCGCCCCTCCCCTCTCCGCAGGTTTGCCAGTTGAAGTAATCCTAACAGGGAAGTCCAGCTCAGGAAGCCCCACCCTGCCTACCAGCAGGAGGTTGCTCTAAACCAGAAGCAGCCAGGGGTCCCCCAGGCTCCAGCCTTCCCCAAAGTCTGCCCAGTGGACAGACTATCAGCCCATGTGGATTCTAGTCCAATCCCAAAACCTCTGGCTTTCGCTTCTCTTTCAACATCGTGCAGACCACTCCTGGGCTTCCCCCCAATGTCAGTCTATAGGACAAGTGTTAACTAAGCGAAACAAGCCATCAGGCCTCCCCTTGAGGAGGTACTACTCACTGGGAAGCGTGCGACTGTTGCTGAGGCTGCCGGTGCTGGGCGGTGGGGAGAGGGACTGCAGGGAGACGCTGTCCTCCTCCTGTGAGCAGCCTGCCTGGATGGCACGCAGGTAGCTGTGGCTGCGGGAGCGGAAATAGCTGGGCAGGGGCAGGTCCAGCACCTCTGCTGCCGTCGACTCCGCTTCGCTGCAGGCTGACTCACAGGCAGCCTCGTACTGGTCACTCAGATCTGCCTCCCGTACCTGCCCAGGCAAAGGCAGGCATCAGGGGTCAGCGTTGCCCATCCTCGGGTGGGAGTACATGTGGGAGGGGTGCCTGGTGGACCTCCCCTCAGCCTACCCCTCCTCCTCTCATTTCATCCAGGGCACAGATGAGCAGATGGGAGCCCCAAAGAAAGGAACAGTCCTGTCACCTCTTGGGGGACTCAATGTTTCTCATTTCTACAATGAGAAGAAAGTTTTAATATATCCCAGGATGTTAACTTGACTGCTGTTATGTGTGTCCACCCTGCTGGACTGAGAGGGTCACATCTGAATTTTAAAATCAGTTAGTCATGTCTGCCCTAAATGTTAGAACGGGGGTTGCAGCAGTTGTGTTGTACACCTGCTATCTTATGGTTCAATCTCGTATTTTTCAAGCAAAAATTCTCTCAAGGCCAGTGAGAAGACACTTGCCCTAGTTACCAGTGAGGAATACTCCAAAAATATGTTTTCAAGGAATATGAATGTAGCCTTGGCACACAGAATGAATACTGGGAGGGAGCAGGGTTCTGGAATAGAAGCAGGGGCCAGATGCAACAGCCTGGTAAGAGGGAAGCAGCAGCAAGGATTGATTAGTGATGTCTGCCTGGGACAGCATGGAGAATAGTGGTATATATATACATATATATGCATGATATATATGTATATATGTATAAAACATATGTATATATGCACATATATGCACATATACATATATATATATATGTGATTTACTATATTCTGTTTGCTTCAGTCTAGCCTACTGGGTTCCCTCCAGAAATGACCAAGGATTGTGCAAATCTAAAGCTGCAAGTGTGAGCACAGAGAGGTCTGATCACATACCATATATTCTCTGGGGGTTCATGAAGGGTTTTCTGGCCTGTGTCTCAGGCTGAGAGCTATGGACCACACAGTAAAATCTAAGGCGTTGTCTGGTTAAAGATGGATAGTAGGTGGAGGCCTGAGGCGAGGCCAGAGCTAGGGGAGGAAAAGGCACTAGGTGGCTGAGTACTATGTGGAGGAAAAGTTGGATCTGGGTCTGGGACCAGCGCTGGGCAGCTATGTGACCTGGCTCATCACTGTGCTCTCTGGGCCAGTCTCCTCATCTGGATAAAGTAGAATGTTCTGGATATTTGTCTATATATACATCAGGTAAAACAACTGGATGGATCTGTACCTAATACAGTGTTGGGAAAGGTTGAAATGTGTGCTGTCCAACATGGTAGCTGCTAGCTATGCATGGGTATTTCATTAGTTTTTTTTTTTTCTCTTTTTTTTGCAGTACTGGGGTTTGAACTTAGTGTCTTATGCTTGCTCAGCTTACTTAAAAGGCTGGCACTCAACCACTTGAGCAACATCTCCAGCCTGGGTTGTCAATGGTTATTTTAGTGACAAAATCTTGCAGACTTTTCTGCCAAGGCTGCCTTTGAACTATACTTCTGCATATCTCAGCCACCGAATAACTAGGGTTACAGGTATGAGCCACTGGTACTCATCTAGATTTAAAGTAGTTAGTTTTAGTAAAGTTTGACAGTCACATTTTACCTGCTGAAAAGCGGCATGTGACTAGTGACTAGTGGCTACCATGGACAAGTATAGATGGTAGAACAGTTTCTATCACAGTAGAATTCTACTGCACAGGGTCAACATGTTAAAACCCAGAATTCACTTAGAGGGGCATTAAAAGGGATTGTTGTTTACCCTCCCCCACTGCAATTGGGTCTTGCTTTGGAACTGCACCGTAGCACTGCAGTTCTAGAACCAGACTGGCAAGGTTTCAACCCCTCATCAGTTCCTTGCAGTTTAAACATAGGCAAGTCACTTATTCACTCTGTGCCTCAGTTTCTCATCTGTACAATAGGGCTGATCACAGTCTCAATTCCACAGTGCTCTCAAGACTAATGAGATAACCTACATTACATGTTTAGAATAAAATCCAAGAGTGAACCCCTGGGCACCTGCCTCTGACAATACAGGCCAGCAGGTGGAGGGAACAGGATGAGTTCACAAAGATTGGTTAAGATGCAAGCTAGGTGCTGACGGGCCATGCCTGTAATCCTAGTTACTTAGGAGGCTGAAGACTGGCTGGTTGACCAGTTTGAGGCCAACCAGGGCAGAGAAGTCCATAAAACCATCCTCATAGGGAGGAGCTGGATGTAGTGGTACATACCTGTGATCTCAGCAACTATGGGAAGCCTACACGTAGTGGATCAGGGCTGAGATGCCTGCACAGGAGGGAAGCAAGACCCCATCCTAAAAAGAACCAGTTAAGCTGGGCGCAGGTGGCTTATGCTTATAATCCTAGCTCCTCGGGCTGGGAAGGTGGCCTAGTGGTAGAGTGCTTACTTGGCATGCAAGAAGTCTGGGTTTGATTCCTCAGTACCACCCACATAAACAGAAAAAGCTGGAAATGGCACTGTGGCTCAAGTGGTAGAGTGCTAGCCTTGAACAAAAGAAGCTCAGTGCCCAAGCCCTGAGGTCAAGCTCCAGGACTGGCCAAAAAAAAAGGTAATAATCCTAGCTCGTCAGGAAGCTGATATTTGAGGATTACTATTCAAAGCCAGCCTGGGCAGGAAATGCTGTGAGACTCTCCAATAAACTACTCAGAAAAAGCTGGCACTGTGGCTCAAGTGGTAGGGTGCTAGCCTTGAGCAAAACAAAGCTCAGGGACAGTGCCTAGGCCTGGAGTTTAAACACACAACAACAACAACAAAAATCACCCTAAAATAAAAAACTGGGCTGGAGGTGTGGCTCAGAAGTATTGTGCCTGCCCAGTAAGTGCCAGGTCCTGAGTTCAAACTTCAGTACTCACAAAAGAAGAAAAAGATGCTCCCGAGCTGGGGGAGAGGAGTGGGTAGGGCCATGAGTCAGTGCTGACGCAGGTCACACGGAAGACTTGTGAGATTCATGTCAGCCTCATCACACACCTAACTGGGGTTAGGGGAGGAGGAGGTCACCAGCCCGCTGAGGGCTCCTAAAGGCCTCTAGAATAATGTGTTCAAGGGAACATCTCGCTTCTAGAACCTGTGCGAGGACAGGGAAGGCATCCTCCACTGCGGTGGTACAGCTCTACCTTTGCCCTGTGGGAAGTGTGGCCTTGGACAGGCCCCTTGCCTGTTCCTGGCTACAACGAGAGACTGAGCTCAGCACCTTATCTGCCCCACTCTCCGGCTTGGGAGCATAGGGTGGGGGTGGGCACTTCCAGGGGGAGGAGATGTGTTCATGGATGGGAGGGAGCCCTGTAGACATGACCTCTGCCAACTTTATAAAGTTTCTAAATTCTCTTCAATTTTCTCATGTTCTTAAAGGCTCTATAAGAAAGAGGAAAAGTCAGAGGATTCAGGGCTGAGGGGGCTAGGACCTGGCAGCTCCTACCACAGGCCCAGCCCCCTCCACCCTGTCCTGGCCAAAGGAAATTTCCCAGGCTGGCCTAGGATTGGGGGAAGCAAGGAGGGAGCCAGAAGACCCAATGTCCTGGGGGCCAATCTTCCTTCCTTCCCTCCTTCCCACTTTCTCTTCCTTCCTCTCCATCTTTGTCTGTCTGTCTTGCCCAGGTTTGCATCAAAACCATGATCCTCCTGCTTTTGTCTCCCAAGTGCTGAGATGTAAAGCATGCTCTGCCACATGACTTCTTGCTTCATTCATATAACCTAGCTCATTGTCCTCAGGCCCCCCCTTTTTTGACAGTCCTGCATCCTGAACTCAAGGCCTGGGCACTGTCCCTGAGTTTTTGTTACAGGCTAGTGCTCTACCACTTGAGCTACACCACTACTTCTGACTTTTTTTGAGTAGTTTACTGGAGATAAGAGTCTCACTGGCTAGGAGCTGGTGGCTTACGCCTATAATCTGAGCAGCTCAGGAGGCTGAGATCTGAAGATCGCAGTTCAAAACCAGTCTGGGTGGAAAAGTCCCTGTGAGACTCTTACATCAATTAACCACTCTTTAAGTGGTGCTGTGCATGAAGAGGCTCAAGGATAGCACCCAGCCTCTGAGTTCAAGGCCCACAAGTGACAAAAGAAAGAAGAATCTCATGGACTTTCCTGCTGGGGTTGGCTTTGAACGGTGATCCTAAGACTTCAGCCTCTTGAGTAGCTAGGATTACAAACATGAGCCACCGGCACCCTGTCTAGTTTACCAGTTTTAGGAAGAGGAAACCGAGGTACAGAAGTGCAGTGACAGAGGTATGGGGGTGGTAGGATCAGGTCACCGGTGTGCGCCTCAGCCCCATCCTCATTACAGGGGATTTTCCTCGCACTGGCTGTGGCTGTGCTGGCCCAAGCTAGGTGCGAGGCCCCTCAGGTACTGGCCTGTGCTCTGGACTGGTGTGCATGAGAACGACAATCATACTGACCTGCTGCTCATGGCCAAACAACTGGGGTATCAGGGAGGCCTGTCCAAAAATCTGCAGGAAAGAGAGCGGGGGGGGGGGTTAGGGAGGCCAGGGCTGGGGCAGGGGCTGGGCTGGGCTGGGCTGGGCTGCTCAGGCTCATGTGCCAGGGAGCTGGGGTTTGGCTAGTCTGACCTCATCCTGGCTGTCCCCCCCACCCACCTCGCTGCTAGACCTCACTTGGCTTCCTTGGGATAGAGGTTATGTTTGGGGCTGGGCAGCAATAAGAACTTATAATCTACTGTTTATAAGTCCTTTTCCTCTGTAGCCCCTGGGACCATGGATGCACCATCTGAGGCCTCTTACCCCGGCAGGCTGCTCGCCTGCAAATTCAGATCTGGGACAGCCCCTGGAGTATTTCCCAGGCTTCGATGCAGCTCAGGTCATTCAACCTTCTGGGAGTAGGCGCTGGGGGGTGGTTAGAGAACCCTAGAGACTGGGAGTCAGGTGGGGTTGGGTAGGGAGGTAGGGGTGATTCCTATGGGAGTACCCAGCCTGGCCAATTCCATGAGCCCTTTGTGTGTTCCAGGTGCCTGGGTGAGGCAGGGATGGAGAACGTAAGAGACATGGAAAAACAAGAAGGTTGGAACACACGTGTAAGCCAAGAAAAATGTGAATGAAGACTCAAAGGGTCAGGGAGACAGGAGATAACTGGTAGAACTGGAGAGACAGGGAAGGGCACAGACAATCAGCAAACACCTGCTGAGGGCAGGGAACAAGACAAGGTACCTGCCTGCAGAAGACCCCAATCTCAGGGACAAGGATGGCTGGGGGGTGGGGCTGGGGTTCTCGGAGCATCAGAGACACTAGCTGTACAGAAATCTGGGTGCAGAGAGCATGGGGCTGGGGAGGGGAGGGGAAGGGAGAGGAGGAGGGGCAAGTGCAGTGAGCATGGGGTAGACAGACATGCTGCCTGGGTCTGTGAGGCCCAGAAAGGAGCCAGGTGCCTGCGGCAGGGCTCAGGTCCATCAGAGCCTCTCAGGTCCAAGTAAAAACTCTAGCTTCCCTCACAGTACGGGAGGAAGTTGGATGCTGATGAGTCACGCCTGTAATCCTAGCTACTCAGGAGGCTAAGATCTGAGCATCGCAGTTCAAAGCCAGCTTGGGCAGGAAAGTCCATGAGACTCTTCTCCAATGAACCATCAAAAAGCTAGAAGTGAAGCTGTGGCTCAAGTGGTCGTGTGCCAGCCTTGAGAGAAAAAGTTAAGACATAGTGCCTAGGCCCTGAGTTTAAGCTGCCTACCAGCATGCATGCACACACACATGTGCATGCACATGCACACGCGCGTGCACACTCACACAGGTATGGAGAAGCTGGGCAAAATGAGCAGCAGGTATAGAGGCTGGAGGCGGCACTTGCTGGGACCTGCAAGTGCTCTGTCCCTCTTCATGTATGAGGTCAGATTCCTGGGTGTCTCCAGGGCTAGGGAAGGATCTGATGAGCCATGGGGTCCTCAAGTTTCATTCATACCAGGAAAGCATTCTGCCACTGAGCCATATACCAACCCTTCTGGGCTGTCGACAGTCCTGGCTGTGAGTCTATATCTGTTGTGTGCAGGGTTTATTTCTGCAGAGAGGAGGCTGGGTCTGCCCCACTGCCTGCTATACTGCTCCCCATGGTCCCTCTCTGGGCCCCAGAGATTGTTTCCCAACCCGCATCATAGAGAATTTGCAAACTCTAAGGCACTGCCTCCACAACAGGACTGGGGGCCCACAGCTTGAGATCTGCTCAGCTTCTCCTCCTTCTTAGGTGTGAGACCTCTCTGAGCCTCAGTTCTCCCCTCATGGATATGGGGATAGAGACAATAAGGCCACCTCTGAGGGTGGCTGTGAAATCCCAGGGAGCTGAAGGCTTTTTTGCACAGAACTGAAGGAACACGAGGTGTGCCTGTCATGATCCATGGTGGGGCTGGCCCTGCCACACCTATTTTTCCCGAGTGGGTCCAGGGACCCAAAGCAGACACGTAAGTTCCCCAAGGTCACACAGCAAGATAGTGAGAAGCTTAAGGGTAGCTACCCTTACTGAGCACAGTAAGTTCAAGAGGTTAATCTACCCACTCAGAACTCCGGTATAGGAAACACCACCCTCCTCCCGTGCTTCATCAGAAAACTGGGTACAGGGAAGGGAGGTGATTTGTGTCAGATTTGTAGCATTGAAGACAAGGCTGGGACTCAAAGCCAGATCTCCAGTTCTCTCACCCCTTGGCTCTGAACACAATGAGAAGTAACAAGGCCCAGAGCCTCCTTTGGCAGCCCAGGTCTTGGCAATGTGTATGTGTGGGTGCATTGTCCATTGGGGTCCTCCGCTGCAGAGGCCTTGTATGTCAGTCCCAATGACAATGCTCTTCAGCCCCAGGACAGCAGGTGGAACAGACACACACACATATAGCTTCAGGAACAAAGACTAAACAGAAGCACCACATAGGTATCCCAGGACTCTGGAGGAAGGCTGGGCCTAGATGTCTGTGTTCTCCCAAGTCCATTGGCCTTCAGGCCGCCCTGACCTGGCTGATGCAGCTGGAGTCATTGAGGCTGTCGCTGATGGGGTTGTAGTCCTCTTCCCAGCTCGGACACTTGGAAGGTAGCAGCATGTCCACTGAATCCAGGCGGTCCAGACTCCTGGAGTGGGGCAGAGAGCATACAGAGCTCAGTTCACCCACCGTTAAGTCTGGAAAACAGGCCCAGAGGGGAAAAGACTGGACAAGAGGTCATCCAGTGGTAAAGGGAAAAATGGAAGTTACTGCTGCCAGCCTGGGCGGATGGGTAGCACTGACAAAGGGAGCGCTCCCAGCCTTCACCTCACTTGTCATGCCCGATGCAGACACAAGGTGGCAGCACAAGTGTGCATTTGACTGTTTTAGGCCTGAGGCCAAGTGTACAGTCCCCATCCCACCCTTTCCTCCCTGCAAGCCTGGGGTCACTTCAGAGACTGGACAGAGAAGGTGGATAGAGATTTACAGTGTTGACCTTTGGCTAGGAATTCCCTGAGGGATGCGATGTCCAGGTGACATCTACCAGGTCCCCAGTGCCCCTCCACTGAGTCTGTGAAGCCAGCTCTGCCCTCAATGCTTGTTCTGGAAATAAGGCCCCTAAGCATCTGTATAGATCACACTACAGAGGCTTGGATTGGAATCCAGCCCCCTGCAGAAGGGGAAGTCAGTCAACTTACCACCCTTGCTACAGACTTGGTATCCTCTTTCACAGACAGTGACCCTGTCTGCCTGCCAGGACTGGCGTAAGCATTGAATGATACAGATTCAAGTGTACTGGGGTAGACACAGTGGCCAGCCAGGCCAGTGCCAACAGACAGCAGCTATTCATTCTTACTATGGATTCTTTCATTCCAGGCCTGTGTACCCTGGTCTTGTCACCTCTCACCTTAATGCTCACTGGTCATTGGTAAGACGGCAGGTTTTCAGGACCAGTCAACCAGATCAGTCTCCTCATTTGGGACGTGTGAGGCTCACAGAACTGGGGCAGGTTTGGGGGTGTTCCAAATTCCAACCTGAGGCCATACTTGGCCTTGCCCTGCACTTCCTGGCTGCCCCAAATGTGCTGCTCTCTTCCTGCTCAGTGCCCCTGTCACCTGCCAATCCTGCTCCCTTCCTTTTGTCCCCACCTTCCCTGGCCACCTCTTCTGTGAAGCTGAGTGGCTCACTTCTAAGGAGTTGAGGAACGTGGAGTAAGCAGGCTTCCTCTGACTGTTAGAGCCCAGGATGCAGCTGCCGCAGTGGAATTCCAGGCAGGGTGTTGGCTTTGCTTTCACCCCCCCCCCCCGGTCCAGATCCCACCCTGGGGACCAGTTACAGGAGAAAGGGGAGCAGGGGGACACTTTACCTGGCCACTGCTGGTTACAGTAGCGGGCTTGCTAAGGGCAGGGGCACCCACAGGAAGAAGACCCCCCCAGGCAGTTGCCCTGTGAGAGTGGAACTTACCTGGGGATGTGTCTCCTGAGACAGCTTACCTGAACCAGTCACCCAGGTGAGGTTCTCATTATGGGTGGGGTTAGCCAAAGGATGAGGCTCACCTGTGCTGGGGGTGGGACTCATGGATGGTTCATCGTGGGGCTTCTTCGGGCACAACTGGTTCATGTGCAGGGCCAGACTAAGCCTGAGGATCTCTGGGAAGGGCCAGCCTGAGGGAAGGTTCACCTAGGGGCACAGCTGACCAGTGAGCAGGGTTTGCAGGTGCTGAAAGCTCCGGGGGCGGGGCTTCAGCGAGGGGCGGGGCAAAGACTGGTCCTGGAGGGTGGAACTCTCAGGCCTCACCTGTGGGTGTGGGGGGAGGGGAGGGGAGGTGCAGGGGTGCGGCTCACCTGCGGGGGTTGCTCTGCTCTCCCAGGGACTGCTGCGTGGCCCTCAGGTAGCTCTGGCGCCTTGCTGCGGTCTTGGGCGAGGGCTTGGGGCTGCCACCACCAGACTCGTCGCTGTCCTCGTCGCCCATAGCCTTGATGTAGCTGCCGCTGCGCATGCGCCGACAGGGGATGGGGCCCTCGGCCGCGGAGTCCCCGTCCCGGGGGGACAGCAGCGTGGTGCTCCACTCGCCTCCGCCACCGGGCACCTGGGGACACCGGCCAGGACTCAGTGGGTGTGTGTGTGTGGGGGCGGCCTGGACTTGTCATCTGGAAAAAGGGTCCTGCAGGACCGTCCCTCCACTCGGGAGTTGGGCCTTCGGTACTGGCATTAACCCCGCATCAGAGGGTCCTGGGTAGGGACAGGTACCTGGGTTCCAGAACCAGCTCTGTGGCAGCTTCCCTGCTGGCCTTAAGCAAATCCTTGCCCCTCTCCAACCTTTTGATTTCTCTGTGGAGACTGAGCTGAGTTAGTGCCCACAGAACTGTCGGAGGGTTTGGATCAGAATGGCCTCGCTGTGGCCCAGCTTCCTGAGCGCCCATGGAGCCCTGCTGCTTCACCGGTGCCCTCCCTGGCAATGCTGTACAACCCCACTGGACAAATGAGAGCACCAGGCCCGAGGCCGGTCAGTCACCTGCTGAGAGAGAGGCCTCCAGACTGGGAACCAAAGCTGACCCTAGGACAGGGTCAGCAGCCCCTGGGCACATCAGCCTGGGGTGGGGTGGGGTGGGGAGAGTCAATCGGGCATTTTTTGGTCCCCCAAAGGGGAAACTGAGGTAAAGAGGGATGGGACAGCCACAAATTCAGGAGAAAGGCTTAGTTCTCTCATGTGAGCCCCAGGGACCCCAGGCAAGTGAGGTCACGGCTGTGAGGTCACTGCTGGTCACCCTGGCCCCCAGGGGCTCCGGTGGTCGGAGCCAGCTGAGGGACACCTCCTCATGTCTAGCTCTGCTGGCTTCTCTGAGACGGTGGGCACAGTTAGTTTTCCTCCATCACTCACTCACTGTTTGCACAGAGTGGCTGGCACTTTGGGAGGAAGTATGCTCACATCCGAGCCTTCACACGCTTCAGGGCCGGGAGCTCGGTCCTCACTCTGGGCCCCGACACAGACGAGCGTGCCTTGCTGCACGCACAGATCTCAGCACACACGAAGCAGCAAGCCTTGCCATCCACACCCCTGTGCAAGCGCCTCCGCACCACTCGCTTTTACCCCAGGACACCCGGGGTGACCCGCAGCTACCTCCAGTATGTCCACACTAGGCCCACAGAGCAGACTCCCTTAGCACCCCACACCTCCCACGGTCACATCTGTACCCGCTGCACTCAGACACACATCAACACACCAGTGCACGCCCTCCAGGACTGCATGCACAGGACTGCATGGATGCTGAGACATGTTCCAGTGCACACAGCACTCCCACTCCAGTGCATGCAGGGCCCATGGCCTCAGATGCCAGAGGCCACTTCCTCCAGCTGAGAACGTGCCCACAGTAACCCCCACAACTGACTGCACATCCAGTCTCCACTGGCCGCACAGTCCCTGGAGACTGGGACCTTATGTATTCTTGCTCAGATTCTAAGACCAACCCACCTAGCCCACAGGCAGCCCAGGTTCCAGGGCCTCTCCTGCTGTCTCGGAGGCATTTCTACCTGATCAAGACCCCCACAGTTCTGTGTTGAGAGGGAGAGGTCACACACTCTCCCCGTTTCAAAGCACCTGGTGTTGAAACCAAAGAAGTGGAGAGGCACAGAAGCTCTCCATAGGTTTGAAAGGCTGCCGAGATGTCAACATCGGATGTCGTTTGCCAAGAGCTAGCTAGCTAGGTCTGTGCCTGGATGAACCCTGGAGATGGCGCTTCGTACTACAGAAGCAGCCCCTTCTGTTGGCAGTGTGCTCCGTGTCACTCCACCCACTGGGCTTTGTGCCCCTGCTCAGCCTAACAGTGCAGTAGCAGTGAGGTTTCCAAGCCTCCTGCTACCTGCAAACTCCATGGCCTTGGCGCATGGCGAGTGCTCACACGCATTAGTGCATTACAGAAGCTGTGGTGTGTGTGTGTGTGTGTGTGTGAGAGAGAGAGAGAGAGAGAAAGAGAGAGAGACAGAGAGAGAGATGCTTCCAGGGGCATGTTTTAGCTGCTTCTCAGGTTAGGCTCTGAAAGTCCTAATCAATGTCACCTAAGGCTTAATCAATGGAGGTTTTTTTTTTTTTTAATTACTATTAGTAGTAGTTGGCCCACCAGTGAGAGGCTCAGAACAAAGCCACTTCCCAAGTGGGTCTGTGGTACTGCTAGCTGTGCCTCAAAAGATACCACCCGTGTTCCCAGCCCTCAGTCCGCTGACCCTAGCAGACACCTACCTGCAGGTAATGGTAGGCCAGACCTTGGTGGCAGGACTTGGACTTTAGTAGGCTCTTGTCCAAGGTGGCTGAGGTCTTTTGGCAGACCTCATGGGCATGGCTGAGGGTCAGAGTGGACCAGGAGCCCCGCTTAACGTAGTTGGTGTCGGAGCCCATACCAAGGCTGGGGCAGGTGGCGGGAGGGGCAGGTGGGGGCGGAGGAGTGGTCAGCTCGGTGGTGGTGGTGGTCTTAGTGGTTTTGAGCATGTGCCCGCTGATGGTGTTGTAGGCGTGCATGAAGTAGCGGGGCTGGGTGCGTTCGGGCTGGCGGCCGAGGGTCATCAGGCCAGAGACCGGGCCGCCGCTGCGGAACGCGCCGCTCTCCCCGTCCAAGTTGTCGTCAGAGCTCCACCAGCCCGAGATGTTGGAGCGGCTGCGCCGTTTGGGCTCCCCGGCCTTGGCCCGCTCCTTGCTTTTGGCCCTCCGGCCCTTGCCGTCCTCCAGGCCGCCCTTCTTGTTGCCATTGGCCCCGATCTTGCCCGCCGTGCCCTCCATCGAGGGCACCTTGGTGAAGAAGAGCCGCTGGACGGAATGGACCAGGTGGCGGATGCGGCCAGGGCTCTCGCCACGCTTGGCCTCACCCCGGGGGAACTGCAGGGTGCTGAAGCCATCTCGGTGGATGGGCAGCTGCTTCTCAAACTGGTCCAGGAGGTTGGCTGGCAGCCGGTTGATCTTGGTGGCCTGGGCATGGCTGGGGAAAGGGCTCTCCTCTGGCACCTCGAAGTGGGAGCTGTAGTGGATGCGGGGGAAGGTGCTGCTGGGAGGCGGCAGCTGGTTGTTGAGCGGGAAGAGCCCATCTCCCGGCAGGGTGCTCTGCCCAGGGAAGCGGGCCTCCCGGGCGAAGGCCTCTGTGGGCGACAGCAGGTAGGGGTTGCGGTCAGACCCTGCAAACAAGGGCTCGTGCGGCGGGTCCAGGCTGTCGGACAGGTGGCGGGGGCGGCTGTCTCCGAGGCCTTTCATGATCCCGGCCCGTGAGGCGGGGTGCGGGGAGGGCGTTGCCCTAACAGGGCGCCCAGGTCTCCTCTCCTGGGCAGCAGCTGTCCTGGAGAGAGAAGACAAGAGAGGAGTGAGCTGGTGCCCGGGCTGCAGGGGGCTGGGGGCTGGCACGGTCAGGCCTCGGGGCTGAGAGGAAAGCTGGAGTGTGGAGACGGCCATCGCCATCACGGGGCGGGGACAAGAGCAGACCGGGGAGTCACGCCTTCTGGTTGGATGCAGAAGCTGCCACTGGAGGCAGCCAGCTGTTAGACAGTACCTGGCTGGAGGGACAGATGTTCAGAGCCCCCTGCAGAGCCTGGTGGGGCACGGGGGGAGATGGTGGGACATGGGGGGGGAGCTGCCCGTCCCCCTCCTCCTCCCATCTTGCTCTTGCGAGGAGCTGCACGCTCGAGGACGCTGCGCTCACCTCCAAGCTCTGTCCGCACCCCTCAGGCCAGGCCAACCTGGGAGGACTGTGCTCAGGACCGGGACTGTCCGGGCAGGAGACCCCTGGGACTCCCAGGATCCCGGCTGAGGACTCCTGGCAGTCCTAGGCTTTGGTCCCTCAAGCACCTCTTGCCTATGCGCCATAGAGGCCATGCACAGAGTAGAAGCAGGCAGGACCCAGCTTACCTGCGGCCGAGGGCAGTGCTGTCCGGCTCTTTTAGTTTAGCAGAGGATTCCTCGTGTAACCCTCAGTAAATACCCACTCTGCCCCCTCACTAAATGCTGAGGGAGCAGAGACCTCTGGGCTGTGTGATGGGGCCATGGACATCAGGGAGGCCAGCAAGCTTACCCGCCCATGGTTCCCAATTGGGATGAAGCAGTGATGGCTGGAATGGAGAAGAGAGGCGCATCCTGGGGACTCAGGGACCAGGCAAGACTTCACTAAGAGATGAGAACTTGGCCAAATCTGTTCCTGCCTGGCTGACATTGCTGGCCTCCTTTCCCCCAGCATCCCTAACCTGTCAGTCTGTGTTTCCATAACCAGGCTGAGGGCAGGGCTAGCTCCTGCTTCTTCCCATCGGGAGTGGAAGAATGAGAGGCAGTAGGCGACCAGGGCCCAAGTCTGCCAAGAGCTCTGGCTGCCCATGTTCACGGTCAAGCTCTGGGTGGGCATAATGGCTTTCAGCCGGAGGTTGAGCCTGCGTCCAATGACAGGTCCGCGCTTGGGCACCAAGCATGGCTTCCCTGCCCCAGTGCGAGCACCCAGGCTCAGCTGCATTCTGAGCTCCCTCGGGGACTGGCTAAGGCATTTGTTGTGAGGGTCCTGAGATTCAACCCCACCCTCACCTCTCAGCTGCTCCTAAAGACTTCCCAGGAAAGTTCTGTACGCTCCTCTGAGCCCTGAATATGTTTCCCGGGCCTCTTTTCCTGGGGTGCTGTTGTTTCGGAAAATTAACCCCTCACTGCAGGGCTCCGGCCAGCCAACTCATGCCCCCAGCCTCCAGGTCCTGTCCCGTGACAGCCGACGACGCTCTCACTCCTTGGGTTTAGGGTGAGGGTTGATGTGACATCGTACAAAAGCCTCAGGGCCCAGCTGCTACGCGGCTGTCCCGTCCGCTGGGGACAGGCATGGGCTTCCAGGCTAGGATGTTCTGGTGGAAATCACTTGCCTGCTGCTAGACCTGGATTCAAATCCTAGCTCTGTGTCTCCTTACAGTGACCTCTGCTTGATCCCTCTCTGAGCCTCGGTGTCTCCCTCTAAGCAGCAGAGGGTTGGAGTGGGCAGGAATGGGCAGGGCATGTGCGTGGTCATGGTGACCCCCTTGGCTTGCGTGGATGCCGGTCCCTCAGCCACTCAGCTGCAGGGCTTCATCTTGGGAGCAAGTAGGTGTCACCGAGCTTGTGTGTGTGTGTGTAGGGGGGGGGCAGCTGTACTGCCTGGAGCTGCCTTTGTCAATGAGCTATACTTAGGCTCATCGGACGTCCTAATTAGCTCTCATTAATGTGAGCCTCGCTGCCTCACGGGATGGGAAAAAGCACAGAGCTGCCTCCAGCGCCCCTTGAGCTCCGTGGCACCTCTCCACCTGCAGCCACCATGGCCACCTGCCTCACGGGGCCTCCCTGACTGCCCACCTCATCCTGAGCCCCAAGGGGGCTGGGAGGTAATTAGGGAACTAGGCCAGAAGAGGTCTTCCAGAAGCAGAACTCAACCATCATTACCTGAATCCGGAACTTGCTAGGGCTTCCTCTTCCCGCCTCAGTCCAACCTCCTGGGTATGGCACCAACACCCACGCTGAAGCTAACCCCAACCCCACAGGCTACTCCTCAGCCTCCCAGGTCCCAACGCGCGTCCTCTGTATTTGCTGTTCCTAGAAAGGCTGGTTCTACCTAAGGTTGCATCAACAGAGGTAGAGAGTTGACATGAAGGGAGGGGTATCCTGCTCTAGGCTGAGTCCCGCCAGTAATGGAGAGACAGGCCTGCGCAGTGAGCCGAGTGACAAAGGGCAGGAAATGAAGTGGGCTGGAAGGGAAGAACATTCTGGAGATATTCACGGCAGTCCATAGAGGATACATCATCATCGCCTTGGAGCTCTGCAGGAAGGGATGAGGGGTGGAGGGGAAGGATGGGCCCCCAGGGCCTCTATGCTGCGTAGGGCAGGGTGAAGGTAAACTGAGGCAAGCCTCCCTTCCTCATCTCTTGCCCGGGCTGCTCCTCCTCTGCCCTGGGCACTCAGAGAATTGGGGTGCTCTCCTTCCCTCCCTCTGCTTCTCTCCACACCGTCTCCCCTGCTGATCTCATCCCGACGCAGGGCTTTAAGCACCACCTAGATCTGACAACTCCTAAATTTATATCTTCCGCCCAGTCTCGTTCCGGAGCCTCAGACTCCTCAGCATCTCGCCCTAGATGTCTGACAAGTCCACAATGAACACGTGACACCTCCCGCCCCCCACCTGCTCACCTGCTCCGCCCACCGTCTGCATGGCGTGGCTGCCGACACGGGCATCGCCCGCGCGAGCTCAGGTCAGATCAGAAACCGAGTGCGTTCCCCTCCTTTCTCTCTCTCCAATGTGGATGACAGCCAGCACTTCCCCACAGCCTGCCTCCAACGTGTCCTGTGTCCTGGGCTTCGGCGTGCGGCCCTGGCCTGCCAGGCCCTCCCTGCCCTGCCCCCTGCCCTTCCCGCCTGTTCCTGCCCCTCCTCTCTCGTGTCATCCCCCAGGCGTAAAGCTGGCTGGTCACAACCACCCTTTACCAGGCACCTGGCCTCTCCCAGCCCTGCGTCCACCCCTGGCAGGACCGGCTCCTGGAACCCACAGGCAATGGTGGCAGTGGTCCGATGTGGCTTCTGGGGCTAGATCTCCAAGTCATTGTTTCAGGGAGGCCAGTCCCCGTGAGGACAGTCTGTGCGGAGGAGCGAGGCCTCCAGCACTGTGTCCCCCCCCCCCCCAGCCACCCGCATGGAAGCCAGGGCTGCCGTCCCCGGCTTTCAGAGCGACGGGGACAGAGCCACAAAGCTAGGCTGCCCCTGGGTTCCCGCCCCATGCTAACTTCGGGGGACCGTGGCGTGTTGGAAGACGCCAGCAGGAGGGTGGCGCGGGGGGGGGGGGCCGGCGCGCCCCGCAGAGGTCTCAGGCGCCTAGCCCCGCGATCCTGACACATTCAAGGTCCGGCTTTGTTTGCGGCCTAAGTTGGGTGTCCATAGCAACTGTCTCAAAGCGTGACAGGCTGCCCCCCCGTGTGACAGGCCGTCGGGGGGCCACGGCCGCAGGCGGCGGCTGCTGGGGACTGAGAGTGGCTCCTGCTTTCCGCCGCGGTCCCGCGTGGGCGTGGGGATGGCCACGCCAGCAGCACTCCTGGGCCCCTCCTGAAACCAACGGCGCACCCCAGGGCCCAGGAGGATGCTGAGCCCAGTGGGGACAGGGCCTGGGTGCGACCACACCCCACGGGACTTTGGGGGGCCTCTGGTGAGGCACCGGAGGCTCAGGGGACCCTCACGCAGCACTCATCTTTGAGCAGGAACTACAGAACTCCCCTACCCTGCTCTCTTGCCTGTGTCTCAGTGCCGGGGGTCTACATGGGCTGGATTGGTGTTTCTGCTCCTTCTCGAAATTATTCCATCATGGCCTCTTGACCCTGGAGACTGGCAGTCTAACCGCCGAGGGTAAACAGAGGCACTGCTCAGTTCTGCCTTACCTCCAGAGTTGGAGTACCCTCCTGCTCCTGCCATCTTCTTACAGAAGACCCCTTTACTAGCAGAGCCCCAGCAAGCTCTTGTGGAGTGCCCATTGGGTGCCAGACACTATGCCAAGAGTCGGACTATATTAGCTCATTTATCTCTCCCAACAACTCTTTGAGGACACTGGGGCTCAGAGAGGCTAAGGACCCAGCTCAAGGTCACACAGCAAATAAATGTCAGCACCATAGTTGAATTCCAGGAGAATGGCTCCAGAGCCCATGCTCCTGACCACCTCCTACAGGGGCAGCACGGAACCAATCCTCTCTGTGCCAGCTGGGGCAGGACACTGGGGTCTGGATGAGGCCTTCATGTAGAGGGGACAGAACCTACTGTCATCCAACTCAGGCTTTTCCTAGGTAAAGGTGGAGTAGCCTCAATTTTTCTAGTTGAAGGAATCCAGGGATGTAGGTTCTCCATTTGCCATGCAATGGAATATTATTCTGCCATAAAAAGAAGTACCAGCTGGATGTCAGTGGCTCACGCCTGTAATCCTAGCTACACAGGAGGCTGAGATCTGAGGATCACAGCTCAAAGCTAGCCCAGGCAGGAAAGGCCATGAAACTCTTATCTCCAATTAACCATCAGAAAACTGACGGTTTGAGCTGTGGCTCAAACTGGTGGAGCCGTCAGCACAAAAGCTGGGACAGTGCCTAGGCTCTGAGTTCAAGCCTCATGACTGATAAGAAGAAGAATGCCATCCTGATACGTACACAGTGGGCACAGACCCTAAGGTGGTTACGATGAGTGAAAGAAGCCAGCTACATTATGTGATCCCACTGACGGGAACCATCCAGAATAGGTAGAACCATGGCAAGAAGACTGGATCAGTGCCCGCTGCCAGTGGTTCATGTCTATAATCGCACTCAGGTGGCAGAG